GTAGGAGACCATGTCAAAGGCCTTGCTGAAGTCCAGAAAGACTACATCCACCGTGATACCTGCGTCCAAAGTTTTTGTGACCTGATCGTAGAAGGCAATAATGCTGGTCTGACATGACCTGCCCCTAATAAAATCGTGCTGGTTGCCCTTGAGCATCATCCCTGCTGCTGGCCCATCACAGATGTGCTCCTGGATAATCTTCTCTAAGAGTTTCCCCAGGATTGAAGTTAGACTAACAGGCCTATAGTTGCATGGGTCCTCCCTCTTCCCTTTTTTAAAGATGGGGATCACATTGGCCTTCTTCCAGTCATCTGGCACCTGGCCAGAGCACCATGAGTGCTCATAAAGCTGTGCCAGGGGCCCCACAATAACCTCTGTCAATTCCCTCAACACCCTGGGGTGTTGATCCACCCACACCATCATAAAGTTCCTCCTGATCTCCAACCTAAAGTCCCTCTGCTGCAGCTTGAGATGTTTGTTCCTAATTCTGTCCCCTACAACACCAGAGAAAAGCCTATCCCCATCCTGTCTGTAATTACCCTTCAGGTATTTGGAGGCTGTTATCAAATCCCCCTCAGTCTTCTCTTCTCCAGACCAGATAACCCTAGTTCTTTCAGCTTTTCCTCAAAAATCTTGCTTTACAAGCCTCTAATCGTTTTTGTTGCTTTATGCTGGACTCTTACCAATCTGTCCACATCCTAGCAAGGTTGGCAGCTCTGGTGGCACAGCTGGTAGAGTGCTGCTAATCCAAAGGTTGTAAGTTCAATCTCCACCTCTGAAAGCAACTGCTCCTTCATTCAGTAACCCACAAAAAAGCAGCTATCTTTCTTGGAACAACCCTTTCATGCAGGGGTCCTGGTAATAGCGTTGGTCTGTCAGTCTGAAGGTCACTGTCTGACGAACCTTGTCTCCTGCGATCGCGTATCAAACCACTTAGATGTGGGAAACAGTTGATGTCATATACTTGGATTTTAAAAAGGCCTTCAATATGGTCTCCCACGATGCCCTTATAAAAAACCAACGAACTGGAGGATTTTGGGCTGGCAGAGTCCACGGTCAGGTGGGTTGGGAACTGGCTGAAGGGTCAAACCCAGAGAGTGTTAGTGGACGGGTCTGTATCATCTTGGTGGGAGGTCGCCAGTGGAGTTCAGCAGGATTCGGTTCTTGGCCCCGTGCTTTATCATCGATTTAGATGAGGATGTGGAAAGCACTCTGGCCAAGTTTGCGGATGATGCTAAGTTATAGGGAAAAGCAGTCATGCTAAGGGATAGGGTGCAGATCCAAGCAGACCTGGACAAGCTGGAAAGGTGGGTGGAGCAGAACCGGATGCAGTTCAATAAGGATAAATGCAGCGTGCTTCATCAGGGGGGTGGAGGGAAATACCAGCAACATAAATATAGGTTAGGAGGAGCATTCCCTGAAAAGCATTCATGATTTCCATGTCCTGGCCAGCGCGATGGCTGAAAGGGACCTCAAGGTTATAGTTGATCACAGGATGAACATGAGCTGCCAGTGTGACGCTGTAGTCAACAGAGGTAATAACATACTGGGATGCATTAGCTGGTGCATCACGAGCAGGACTAAATGATACTTCGTCTCTGCTTTAAGCTTTAAGTATGCTTTGTTAAATGCCAAAAAACATGGCTCTACAGTCACTTCTTTGGTTTTAAACAGAAAACCATACTGGTTTAGAGGGTGGATGAAGACAGGAATAAGATTTATTAATGGAAAAATGAGAAGGGTGTGATAACAAGTAAAAATCAATAGATAGAAAAGATATGCAGTTGATAAAGGAAGCTAAAGTTTTTAGTCAATGATGTGTGGCCATCTGTAAGGATAATTTGAAGAGATTCTATAAATATATCAGGAATGAACAAAATATTAGCAATGGTATTGTCCTGGTGTTAGGTCAAAATGGCTGCATTTTCAGTCATAATGCAGCAGAAGTACTCCTTTTGTCAGTTCAGAAACTCCCATGACAATATTGCTATATCTAACAGTGATTACAGAATTAATTCTCTTTCTGTAAACAGGAAGGCCGTTCAGAGTAAAAGTAAAACAGTTTTTAAATTCACATGACCTGAAAATTTGCACTTGGGTATTACAAGGAAGGGGGCTCTCTGAACCATTAATGCTGTTATGTTTTTCTTGGTTTTTTAAATAAATCTTGGCATGCTGTGGAGGCTCTAGAAGAATACAAAGCCACTGTTGTACTAGTACTTGGAAGAATAAATTAAATGAGTGGGGAATCTTTAAGCTCACTGCCGCCCCGTAGTCCCTGGTTCTTGCATATTTCCTGGGCTGAAATCCCCAGAGTCTTGCATCATGGGTACAGCAAAACTCCAATCCTACCTGTTATCTCTTGTCACATTAATGGGAAACTTGACAGAGGGTAACTAGTTTAGAAATAAAAGGTATTGGCATACTTGGTACTAGTCAGTATGGTTTTGTAAAAATGGCTCTTGTCAGACAAATGGGATTTCATGTTTTTAATGAAATTCAAATAGGAAATAATGTGTAGTGTTTTATCAGTGAGGGTAATGGTCTGTTGGAACAGTTTTCTGAGGGACATGATCCCCTCTCTGTCACTCAGAGTCTTTAAAGGATGCTTTAAAACAGTGGTTCTCAACCATTGGTACCTTACGTGTACCACCTGCCAATTGATGCAGCAAAGCGAAACCGGAAGTCCCACCGTGGCAATTCCAGTTTCATTGCCGTGAGCCAAGTCCCTCTTCTTCCTCCCAGAGCAAAGCAGCTTGCGCAAGGCCCCCTTCCCTGCCCCCCCAGCACACTGATGCCGGGGAGTGGAAGCCCCGGCGCACGGGACGCGGCAGCCAGAACTTGTGGCCCAAGCAGGCAAAGACAACTCCAACCTGCCAGGCAGGGGGCGGGCCAGACTCAAAACACGGCACCCACATACCCCCTGCCCGCGTCTCGCGTACTACCAGGAGTGCACGTACCACGGGTTGAGAAACTGCTTTAAAAGATGCAGTACAGCGTAGAATTCATAGAATTTATGAACTGGCTCCCAGAATTATGGAGGCAAATCAGGTTTTTTAACCTGCATCACAGAGGAGTCTGAACTAGTTGAATGTAACAATGTTATAGCTTTAGCATCAGTTAATCTCTCGAGTTCCACAGAAGAGGTGATTGGACTCCCATGGACAACCCCATGCAAAACATTAAAAAATCAAGAGTCTGGCCTTAGAAAGTGGTGAGAGACTGACTATAAATACAGGCCCCCTGGCAGATGTGGAGGTGAAGGCATGATGGGATCTGATGCAAGATCCCCAGAATCGCGCTTCCTGCCATAGAACACATGCGTGGCAGGAGGTGTGATTATGGCATTCAGCATCAGATCCCATCATGCCTTTACTCCTGGTGCTGAGGGAGCCTGAAATCATGATACGGGGCTCTCCCTGCACCGACAAGTAGTAAGCTCCTGCAACTCCCCATCAGCTGATGGGGCTCCCAGCCAGGGAGCCCCAGCCTGGCCCCATCTTCAGTTCATGGCGTGATAGGAACCAGCCACAGAGTTATTGCACATTTTTATGTAATAACTTCATGGCTTGTTCCTTGTTTTTTCATGCCGTTAATTGAATTAACATGTGGCAGGTAAGAGTTTAGACATGATTAACTCATTAATTAAATCTTAAATGTAACGTGTGCCAGGGGCCTAAATATCATCAAATTGCAGGGTCAGTATTGTGGTTCTTGGGTGGTTAGGTTGTGCACACATTTTCCAAGCTTTTCTTCTGCAACCAGGAGCAATAGAAATTCATATTTAATGAGAGCCAAGGTTCCCATTTACTCATTAGATGCCAAAGTATGACTTCAAATAAAAGAGGAAATACCACAATTCCCTTGATAAATCATAGCGTCTATTAATGCCTTGTACTCCACCTTGAAATATTTTACCTCCTTTTCCTGGTCCTGTATCCAGATTGTTCAGCCTGTACAAGTTATGTGTCTGAGTATCTGTTTAAAGTTGATGTATCTGTATCTGTTTAAAGTTGACTTCCTTGATATCAACAACCAAGGTTCTGTTCAGGACAGAGCATAGTTTCATAGTTGGTCGGGTCGGAAGGGACCTGAGCAGATCATCAAGTCCAACCCCGTGCCATGGGCAGGAAAGGATGCTGGGGTCAGACAACCCTGGCAAGGTGTTCATCCAGCCTCCTTTTGAAGACCCCCAGGGTAGGGGCCAGCACCACTTCTCTTGGAAGTTGGTTCCAGATCCTAGCCGCCCTGACCGTGAAGTCGTGCCTCCTGATGTCTAGTCTGAATCTCCCCTCTGCCAGCTTGTGACCGTTATTCCTGGTCACTCCTGGGCGTGCTTGGGGGAACAGGGACTC